GTACCGTATAGGGTGCAGGGTTCAGGAGTGTGTACCGTATAGGGTGCAGGGTTCAGGGGTGTGTACCGTATAGGGTGCAGGGTTCAGGAGTGTGTACTGTATAGGGTGCAGGGTTCAGGAGTGTGTACTGTATAGGGTGCAGGGTTCAGGAGTGTGTACTGTATAGGGTGCAGGGTTCAGGAGTGTGTACCGTATAGGGTGCAGGGTTCAGGATGTGTACTCTATAGGGTGCAGGGTTCAGGAGTGTGTACTCTATAGGGTGCAGGGTTCAGGAGTGTGTACTCTATAGGGTGCAGGGTTCAGGAGTGTGTCTCATGCAGTTCAGGAGTCTTTATCATGCGGAGCCGCGGCACCATGCGGTTTGGCGCATGTAAACACACGATGCAGGGGAGCGCCAATCAATGGCACCGCTGTGCGTTTTAGTGCGTCAATAAAGCACGCCATCATCCCGACACGCAGAGACGTCATCCCGCCCCGACGTTATTTGTTTTGCACATATTCCTGACAAAGTGATACAATGTTACAAATCCTCGTTTCCCCGAAATTACGTCTCCATCTGATCCGCGGTTTGTTTACAGCGTCCGATATTCTCGTCTTTAGGGGCCGCGAGGACGCTCCGCCCATCTCACCCCCCCTCCCCCCTCCTCCAGTCCCCGGAGATCGGCGGTGTTCGAAGCGACATGAAACGCGTCTCATTTTCCGAACGCATTTCACAGATTTAATGGGCGAACGCTCTCCGGCAGGACGCGGCGGGCAGGATGAGACACGATCGCGGCGCAGTGCGTCGTCAGCACCTTCCCGCTCCCACGCGGATTCCAGCCGGAGGACTCATTAAGGTGGGGGGGCTCTGCGCGTCGTATTATCGCCCCGTCGGCTGTTAATTGGCAACCGTGCTATAAACAGACGCAGGAATGATAACCATCCCGGACGGGGAGATCCTCGTCTCGGCCAATCACGGCTCTCGGCAGACCGCGCCCCAAAATATCGCCGCGATGGAACATGGACATAATAAAGGCGTTGTGATTTAAAGCCGCACTCCGGGCCCCAGGGACCCCCCCCCCAACACTGCGAGGGGGCAATGCAGTCCCTATCAGAGTCCCCCCTTACATCAGGGTCCCTATCAGAGTCCCCCCTTACATCAGAGTTCCCATTAAAGTCCTCCATCACATTGGAACCTCATTTAGTTCCACATAGGTCTCTCCCCTTACATCAGAGTCCCTATCAGAGTCCCCCCTTACATCAGAGTCCCTATCAGAGTCCCTCCTTACATCAGAGTCCCTATCAAAGTCCCCCCTTACATCAGAGTTCCCATTAAAGTCCTCCGTCACATCGGAGCCCCCTCTTATTCCACATAAGGCTCTCCCCTTACATCAGAGTCTCCCCTAACATTACAATTCCCCTTATATCAGTTTCTCCATCAAAGTCCACCTTTACATCAGAGCCCCCCCCCCCCTCCCCTTATATATCAGAGTCACCGTACATCAGGTTTTCCATCAGACTACCCCCTTACATCAGAGTCCCCATCAGAGTTCCCCCTTACTCTAGAATCTCCTCTAACATTAGAATCCCCCACCTTACAGCAGCGTTCCCCCTTACATTAGAGTCCTCCTTACATCAAAGTCTCCATCAGCAGCACCCCTTACATCAGAGTCCAACATACATCAGAACTCCCCTTTATAGCAGAGTTCCCCCTTACATCCAAGTCCCTATCAAACTACCCCTTACATCAGCGTCTACCATACATCAGAGTCCCCCTTTACATCAGAGTTCCCCTTTACATCAGAGTCCTTCTTACATTCAAGTCCCTATCAAACTACCCCCTTACATCAGGGTTGCCATCAGAGTTCCCCCTTACATCAAAGTCCCCATGAGTAATAACCCTTACATCAGAGTCCCCCATACATCAGAGTCCCTCATACATCAGAGTCCCTCATACATCAGAGTCCCTCATACATCAGAGTCCAACATACATCAGAGCTCCCCTTTATATCAGCTTTCCCCCTTACATCAGAGTCCTTTTTACATCCAAGTCCCTATCAAACTACCCCCTTACATCAGAGCTCCCATCAGAGTTCTCCCTTACATCAAAGTTCTCACATCAGAGTCCCCCTTACATCAGACTCCTCCATACATCAGAGTCCCCCATACATCAGAGTCCCCCTTACATCAAGAAGGCCCCTACAGGTCATTAGTTTAGAGTCCCTGGAATCATGGCTCAGCAATATATGACCTGCGTAGGGCAATCGATGTTTCCGTATGGAAGCTCCTATCTTAGCTGCAACCCGAATTATTTATATCTTAGGTTAGAGGAGAATTAACACCTCCGTGTCCCCCGTCACTTCCTGTCCTGTAAACTCCACAGGAAGTGTGAGGATATCCGTCCAACGTGAGGAAATCCCCTCGGAGACATTCGTCCCGGAGATAAGTGTCCCCACCGAAGGACTCCTCCATTCTGGTAGCTCACAATGTCGGATTTACCCTTTTATTTCCCTTTCTGATGACAATTCTATTGGTGGAATTTATTTCCTGCGATCGTCGGCTCCCCCTAGTTGCCATAATGTGGGATTTTCCATAACAGCTCTATATTTTATGAATGAATAACATTCGACCTGTCAAGGAATTAGAAGGAGAACATTCGATGTCGCCCCAATCACACAAATAGCCACGCAGCGTCTTTTCTTCAGAAATACATTTATGGCAAAACTTTTTCGCTCATTCTTGTGTCCGCTCCGCTCGGCAGTCCAGGAGCACTCATTTACCGACCCCCCCCCCCCCTTCTCCTCTAGATCGCCTCACAGCACCCGGAGGAAGATGGAAACAAAGAAGAAATAGAATTTCCTTCATCTCCAGTAGAAGCTCCGCGGCTCCTCTGTGATTCATTCTTCTCTGCGACTCCAAATCCCATTTTATATTAATATTCTGCTATATATAGTAAACCCATACACTGCGAGTCCACACAGAGACATAGCATGATGGGGGGGCCCAGGGGGGTGCCGGGGGGGTCCTGCCCAGGACAGTGTATGGGGGGTCCCAGGGGGGTGCCGGGGGGGGTCCCAGGGGGGTGCCAGGGGGGTCCTGCCCAGGACAGTGTATGGGGGGGTCCCAGGGGGGTGACGGGGGGGAAGTCCTGCCCAGGACAATGTATGGGGGGGTGCTGCCCAGCACGATGTATGGGGGGGTCCCAGGGGGGTGCCGGGGGTCCTGCCCAGGACAGTGTATGGGGGGGTCCCATGTGACGGAGGGGAAGTCCTGCCCAGGACAATGTATGGGGGGGTGCTGCCCAGCACGATGTATGGGGGGGTCCCAGGGGGGTGCGGGGGGTCCTGCCCAGGACAGTGTATGGGGGGGTCCCAGGGGGGGGTGACGGGGGGGAAGTCCTGCCCAGGACAATGTATGGGGGGGGTCCCAGGGGGGTGACGGAGGGGTCCTGCCCAGGACAATGTATGGGGGGGTCATGCCCAGCACGATGTGTGGGGGGGTCCCTGCCCGGGGGGTCCTGCCCAGGACAATGTTATGGCGGGGTCCTGCCCAGCACAATGTATGGGGGGGTCCCGCCAGCACGATGTATGCGGGGTCCCAGGGGGTGCCAGGGGGGGTCCTGCCCAGCGCAATTTATGGGGAGGTCCCAGAGGGGTGTCGGGGGGGTCCTGCCCAGGACAATGTATGTGGGGGTCCTGCCCAGCACGATGTATGGGGGGGTGCCAGGGGGGGTTTTGCCCAGTGCGATGTATGGGGGAGTCCCAGAGGGATGCTGGGGGGGGTCCTGCCCAGGACAATGTATTGCGGGGTCCTGCCCAGCACAATGTATGGGGGGTCCCAGGGGGGTGCGGGGGGGTCCTGCCCAGCGCGATGTATGGGGAGGACCCAGGGGGGTGCGGGGGGGGGGGGGGGTCCTGCCCAGGACAATGTATGAGGGGGTCCTGCCCAGCACGATGTATGGGGGGATACCAGGGGGGTGCTGGGGGGTCCTGCCCAGTGCGATGTATGGGGGGGGGGTCCCACCAAGCACGATGTATGGGGGAGTCCCAGGGGGATGCTGGGGGGGTCCTGCCCAGCACACCAGTACAGCCCCCCCCCCATGCAGACCTCTGAGGAAGGTCATCCTCCCCCCAGTACAGATCCCCCTTCCCAGTACAGACACCCTCCCCCCAGTACAGACCCCTCAGTACAGATACCCCCCAGTACAGACCCCTCAGTACAGATACCCCCCAGTACAGACCCCTCAGTACAGATACCCCCCAGTACTGACCCCTCAGTACAGATACTCCCCAGTACAGACCCCTCAGTACAGATACCCCCCCCAGTACAGACCCCTCAGTACAGATACCCCCCAGTACAGACCCCTCAGTACAGTCATCCCTCAGTACAAAACCCTTAGGATAGTCACCACCAAGTACAGAACTCCCTGCCCAGTATAGACCCCCTCAGTACGGTCAACCCCCCAACACAAAACCCTCAGGGTAGGTACCCCCCAGTACAGAACTCTCCCCAGTATAGGCTCCTTAGTACAGACACCCCCAGCACAAGACCTCTCAGTACAGACACTCAATTCTTAGCACAGACCCCTAAATATAGACATCTCCCCAGTACAGACCCCCCCCCCCCCCCATACAGACCAATCAGGACAGTCACCCCCCCCCCAGTACAGACCCCCCTTCCCAGTACAGACACCCACCCCCCAGCACAAACTCCTCAGTACAAATTCCCCCAGTACAAAACCCTTAGTATAGTCACCCCCCAGTACAGAACTTCCTCCTCAGTACAGACAACCCCCAGCACAGACCCCGCAGTACAGACATTCAATTCTTAGCACAGACCCCTAAATATAGACATCCCCCAGTACAGACCCCCCCCCAGTATAAGCCCCCCTCATTCCAGTACAGACCCCTCAGGACAGTCACCCTCACAGTACAGAACTCCCTCCCCAGTATAGACCCCTCAGTATAGTCACCCCCCACAGTACAGACCCCCAGCGCACGGACAACACTGCCACCTCCCAACCCAGGGGCGGACTGACCATTTGGAAACTCGGGCACTGTCCGAGGGCCCGGGGTCAGTAGGGGGCCCCATGAGATGCCCCTGGTACCTTTTTCATAGGATTTTGTGAGTTTGGGCAAGGACACAGGGGCCCCATGATCCCCTATTGCCCGGGGGCCCCATGAGTTGTCAGTCTGCCCCTGTCCAAACCCCTTCACAGTACATACCTCTAGGAAAGGACTCCCCATCCCTAAACTGGAGCAGCTTGGAGTGGGGGAAGTCCTTCTCTTGGCTCTGTCATATATTGGGGGCTGGGAAGGCTTCCCCTCACTCTGAACTGCCATTGTCCGGGGAGCATCTCCTACACCCCCTTTAGTATGCCTTTAATTTTCACCCCCAAAAATTGAGAATGTAAAAATGCATCCAGTGTGTTCCCTGGTTCCAGCCCCACCCCCTCCTAAGCTCAGAGAACCCCCACAATGGAGCGTGAGAGGGAGGTTGCACAGTGCATCATACTATGACAAGAACTTGTTAATTATCTGCTCCACAGAATCCGACTTCATTGGATTTCATTCAGCTGAAAGGTGAACGCTCTGACTTTAGCGCCGCTTCAGACTTTCCTGGACAGAATGAAAGACTGCTGATTGATTGATCGCTTGCTGGAGCTTTCAGCACCTGAGAAGAGCGATCGATTCCAGCCCACGAGGATAACAAATCTTGAGTAGGAAAATTCATGCAAACCTGGCTGCCCATAGCAACCAGCCGCTTCGGATGACACCGAATCCAAAAAAAAAAAAAAGATAAAAGAAGAAAAGAAATAAATAAAGAAGAAAAGGAACGCGGTCGCAGCAGTTGCTATGGACACTTTTCTCAGAAACTGTTTTTCTAGCCCCGGCGTCAAATGTCAATTAAATTTTCCTTGCGCAGGTTGCTATAGCCACAGTCACCAGTTTCGACTTTGCTGCAACTTTTACAGATCAGAAAAAGGATCTTCAAAGGATGCAACCTATCCCCTCATTAGGAACCAGAGATGCGCCGGTGACACCAGACCCGACGGTGACACTGCATAAACCGCCGGAGATGCACAAAAAAAGTCCGTCCTGTTTAAAGTCGATCTTCTGTGAGCTTTTCACGGGTTTGTGAATAAATCCCAGACATGTCACAATATACAACGCCTTGATAAAGTCTTCACACCCCTTGAAATGTCCCCGTATTGTCATGTGACCACAGAACCATCAACAGGGGCGGACTGGCCATTTGGAAACTCGGGCACTGCCCGAGGGCCCGGGGTCAGTAGGGGCCTCATGAGATGCCCCTGGTACCTTTTTAATAGGCTTTTTTGAGTTTTGGGCAAGGACACAGGGGCCCCATGATCCCCTATTGCCCGGGGGCCCCATGAGTTGTCAGTCCGCCCCTGACCGTCAATGTATTTTATTGGGATTGGATGTGATAGACCGACACCAAGTGGCACATCATTGTGAAGTGGAAGGAAAATGAGAAATGGTTTTCAACATTTGTGACCAATAAATATCTGAAAAGTGTGGCGGCATTTGTATTGAGCCCCCTTTACTCTGATACCCCTAACTAAAATCTAGTGGAACCAATTGCCTTCAGAAGTCAAATAGAGTCCCCCTGTGTGTCATGTGATCTCAGTATAACTCCAGCTGTTCTGTGAAGCCCTCAGAGGTTTGTTAGAGAACATTAGTGAACAAACAGCACCACGAAGGCCAAGGAACACACCTGACAGGTCAGGGATAAAGTTGTGGAGAAGTTTAAAGCAGGGATAGGTTATAAAACAAACTCTCCCAAGCTTTGCCCATCTCACGGAGCACTGTTCAATCCATCATCCAAAAATGGAAAGAGTACGGCACAACTGCCAACCTACCAAGACATGGCCGTCCACCTAAACTGACCGGCCGGGCAAGGAGAGCATTCATCAGAGAAGCAACCAAGAGGCTCATGGGAACCCTGGAGGAGCTGCAGAGATCACAGCTCGGGGGGGAGAATCTGTCCTCAGGACAACTATTAGTCGTGCACAGGGACGGACTGACCATTTGGAAACTCGGGCACCGGGGTCAGTAGGGGGCCCCATGAAATGCCCCTGATACCTTTTCATAGGCTTTTTTGAGTTTGGGCAAGGACACAGGGGCCCCATGATCCCCTATTGCCCGGGGGCCCCATGAGTTGTCAGTCCGCCCCTGGTCGTGCACTCCACAAATCTGGCCTTTATGGAAGAGTGACAAGAAGAAAGCCATTGTTGGAGGAAAGCCATAAGAAGTCCCGTTTGCAGTTTGTGAGAAGCCATGTGGGGGACACAGCAAATGTGGAAGAAGGTCCTCCGGTCAGTGGAGACCAAAATTCAACTTTTTGGCCTAAAAGCAAAACACTATGTGTGGCAGAAAACTAACACTGCCCATCCCCCTGAACACACCATCCCCACTGTGAAACATGGTGGTGGCATCATGTGGTGGGGAGGCTTTTCTTCAGCAGGGACAGGGAAGCTGGTCAGAGTTGATGGGAAGATGGATGGAGCCAAATACAGGGCAATCTTAGAAGAATATCTGTTGGAGTCTGCAGAAGACCTGAGACCGGGGTGGAGGTTCCCCTTCCAGCAGGACAACGACCCAAAACATCCAGCCAGACCTACAATGGAATGGTTCCGATCAAAGCATCTTCATGTGTTAGAATGGCCCAGTCACAGTCCAGACCCAAATCCCATGGAGAATCTGTGGCCAGACCTGAAAATTGCTGTTCCCAGACGCTCTCCATCCAATCTGACAGCTTGAGGGATTCTGCCCGTTCTTTGCTGTCCCTCTCTAGATGTGCAAAGAGACATCCCCAAAAAGACTTGCAGCTGGAATGGCAGCCAAAGGGGGTCCTACAAAGTACTGACTCCGGGGGGGGCCGAATACAAATGCCGCCACACTTTTCACAGGTTTATTGGTCACAAATAAAGGCAACAACCATGTCATGCTCAAAGTCACTTAAATCCCCTTCCTTCCCCATTCTGAGGCTCGATTTGAACTTCAGCAAGTCGTCTTCACAACGTCTAGATGCCTAAATGCATTGAGTTGCTGCCGTGTGATTGGCTGATTAGAAATTTGTGTTACCAAGCCATTGGACCTAATAAAGTAGCCGGTGCTGTGTATGTACCCCATGGCGGTGAGTGTATGTACCCCATGGTGTGTGCCGTGTATGTACCCCATGGCGGTGAGTGTATGTACCCCATGCCGGTGAGTGTATGTACCCCATGCCGGTGAGTGGCTGGTGAGTGTATGTACCCCATGGCTGGTGAGTGTATGTACCCCATGCCGGTGAGTGTATGTACCCCATGGTCGGTGAGTTTATGTACCCCATGGCGGTGAGTGTATGTACCCCATGGCCGTGAGTGTGTGTACCCCATGGCGGTGAGTGTATGTACCCCATGGCCGTGAGTGTGTGTACCCCATGGCGGTGAGTGTATGTACCCCATGGCCGTGAGTGTGTGTACCCCATGGCGGTGAGTGTATGTACCCCATGGCTGGTGAGTGTATGTACCCCATGGCGGTGATTGTATGTACCCCATGGCCGGTGAGTGTATGTACCTCATGGCCGGTGAGTGTATGTACCCCATGGCCGGTGAGTGTATGTACCCCATGGCCGATGAGTGTATGTACCCCATGGCGGTGAGTGTATGTACCCCATGGCGGTGAGTGTATGTACCCCATGGCGGTGAGTGTATGTACCCCATGGCGGTGAGTGTATGTACCCCATGGCGGTGAGTGTATGTACCCCATGGCGGTGAGTGTATGTACCCCATGGCGGTGAGTGTATGTATGTACCCCATGGCGGTGAGTGTATGTACCCCATGGCTGTACCCCATGAGTGTATGTACCCCATGGCGGTGAGTGTATGTACCCCATGGCTGATGAGTGTATGTACCCCATGGCTGGTGAGTGTATGTACCCCATGGCGGTGAGTGTATGTACCCATGGCAGTGTATGTACCCCATGGCGGTGAGTGTATGTACCCCATGGCGGTGAGTGTATGTACCCCATGGCGGTGAGTGTATGTACCCCATGGCTGATGAGTGTATGTACCCCATGGCGGTGAGTGTATGTACCCCATGGCGGTGAGTGTATGTACCCCCATGGCCGGTGAGTGTATGTACCCCATGGCGGTGAGTGTATGTACCCCATGGCGGTGAGTGTATGTACCCCATGGCCGGTGAGTGTATGTACCCCATGGCGGTGAGTGTATGTACCCCATGGCTGATGAGTGTATGTACCCCATGGCGGTGAGTGTATGTACCCCATGGCCGGTGAGTGTATGTACCCCATGGCGGTGAGTGTATGTACCCCATGGCGGTGAGTGTATGTACCCCATGGCGGTGAGTGTATGTACCCCATGGCTGAGGTGAGTGTGAGTGTATGTACCCCATGGCGGTGAGTGTATGTACCCCCCATGGTGGTGCCGTGTATGTACCCCCCCATGGCATGGTGGTGAGTGTATGTACCCCATGGCGGTGAGTGTATGTACCCCATGGCGGTGAGTGTATGTACCCCATGGCCGAGTGAGTGATGTACCCCATGTGGTGCCGTGTATGTACCCCCATGGCGGTGAGTGTATGTACCCCATGGTCGATGAGTGTATGTACCCCATGGCCGATGAGTGTATGTACCCCCATGGCTGCTGAGTGTATGTACCCCCCATGGCCGATGAGTGTATGTACCCCATGGCCGGTGAGTGTATGTACCCCCATGGCCGGTGAGTGTATGTACCCCATGGCCGGTGAGTGTATGTACCCCATGGCTGTGAGTGTATGTACCCCATGGCTGGTGAGTGTATGTACCCCATGGCTGGTGAGTGTATGTACCCCATGGTGGTGAGTGTATGTATCCCATGGTCGGTGAGTGTATGTACCCCATGGTCGGTGAGTGTATGTACCCCATGGCCGATGAGTGTATGTACCCCATGCCCGTGAGTGTATGTACCCCGATTGATGGTACCCCTGCTGAGTGTATGTACCCCATGGCTGTGAGTGTATGTATGTACCCCGATGATGTATGTACCCCATGAGTGTATGTACCCCATGGCCGATGAGTGTATGTACCCCATGGCCGATGAGTGTATGTACCACATGGCCGTGAGTGTATGTACCCCATGGCCGGTGAGTGTATGTACCCCATGGCCGGTGAGTGTATGTACCCCATGGCCGGTGAGTGTATGTACCCCATGGCCGGTGAGT